GTCTTCGACCACCATCCTTCCCAATTCAAGAATAGAAGTCGGATACCGCGATACCAGACTTTCGGCGAGGTCCAGTAAAGCATGAGATGACTCACGACAAACTTCGGCCGAGCTGGGCGTCGGAGCATACGACTCGGCGCGCGCCTTCCGCCATCCAAGATAGCACAAATGGTCAACTTCGGCGAACTCATTTGGGATCTTGGACAATGGACATGGCTCGCATCTAGCCCGCGTCAATCCATGTGCACCCATAATTTACTCCCGCCCGGGCTTTTAGGGCTTATCTAATCTCTCGATCAGCTATATGACCCCTCTGAGTCTTCCTCGGGCGCTAATCCAACCTCCTTCTCTCATCATCGCTAACCCCCGTCGACGCCGGCCATGAAAGTCATCGTAATTGGAGCAGGCATTGGCGGCCTCGCCGCCTCCATCGCGCTGCGGCAGGACGGCCACGACACCGTCGTCTACGAGCGCGTCTCCGATCTGCGTCCGGTGGGCGCAGCGATCTCAGTCTGGTCTAATGGCGTGAAGGTCCTGGCCAAGTACGGGTTGCTAGACCGCGTCAAGCGTGTATCTGGGATGATGGAGCGCATGGCCTACCGACAGTGGGACAACGGGGATGTCTATTGCGACTTCGACCTCAATCCGTTGTATGAGGAGGTGAGTGATCGGTTCATTCGACGTGTTCCCCCTGACTGACCTTGCATATTCAGGCAAAGATGCGTGCGTACCCTATAGCGCGATCGGAGCTCCAGGCGATGCTGCTCGACGCGAACAAGCCCGCGCCTGTACATCTCTCCAAGACTGCTGTTTCGTACGAGACCACCGCTGAGGGTGTAACGGTACACTTCCACGACGGCACCTCAGATACGGGCGACTTTGTCGTCATCTCCGACGGTACACATTCCAAGTTGCGCAACCAAATCACCGGCACCAGCATCGTGCGCGACTACGTCGGCTACGTCAACTTCAACGGTGCCATCGAGAAGTCGAAGCTTGGCGTGAGTCACCCTCTCCTTCTGCTTTTACCCTTTACCTTACTTCGCTTGCAGCACCTATTACCATCCGACACATGGACGCAGTTCGTCGGCGATGGCAAGCGCGTCTCCTTCATGCCCATGTCCGACACCCACTTCTACTTCTTCCTCGACGTCACCACCCCCACCGGGACCACGCCCTCTGACTCCGCGCAATGGAAGCCGTTTCTCGCAGAGTACTTTTCTGGCTGGGCTCAGGCCGTCCAGACCCTCATCGCCGAGATGGACGTCGGCCGCGTAGCGCGCGTCGAAATCCACGATACGCAGCGGCTCCCGACACTCATTGACCGCGAGGGCGGTCGCGCGCTGATCATCGGCGATGCCGCACACGCGACAAGTCCAGACATCGGACAGGGTGGCTGCCAGGCGCTCGAGGACACGTTTGTCGTGCAGCGTTTGTTGCGAAAGCACGGGCTGTCTGGGAAAGCTAGCGGACGTCCTACCACGGAGGCGCTGCGTGGTGTACTGGATGAGTACGAGGCACTTCGTGCGGATCGATGCGCTGTTCTTGTACAGCGTGCCCGCCAACGGTCGAACATCACGCACCGATTGGGTGATCCGAAGGAAACGGAGGCGTGGTACGAGGAGCTGAAGGCCGAAGACGGGAAGGGGATTATGAGCGGGATATTGAAGACAATATTGAGCGCTCCCAAGGAGTTGGATGAGTAGTGGAGTTGCTAGATCTCGGAATACGGCTATCACATCGCATCTGAAATAACACGAGGGACACAGCACGCTCTACATCAAGTTGAAGACACAACCAGGTGTGACTACTCATATGCGAATGGCTGGGTTTATTAGACCCCAACAGGATATTTACTGCAGGAAAGCGATGCATAGTTACTCAGATACTTACTGATACAGATGTACAAACCAGGAAGGCTACAATCACTGCCTCAAACCCAGCTCACGTTGCTCGTGCTTCCACTTGTCAAAGCTGACCAGCGTCATCGTCGCCAGGAAACACGGAATCGACCCCTCCGTCCGAATCCAGTACTCCATTTGCTCGTCCACGTCCTCTCCACCACCCCTCCCCCTCCCCACCATCCGCATGCTCCTTCCGCCCCCGCTCCCCCCGTCCTTCATCGGCTCGAACGCGAACTGCGCCTCCAGATCGTACACGCTCGTCACGCGCACACTCCCGTTCCCAAAGAACGCGACCTTCACGCCCAGCACGTTCCGCACGGTCTCCGTGAACTCCTCGGCCTTCGCGTTGAAGACCTGCTTCAGGCGCTGCCAGCGCTTGTTCGCCTGCGCGAGCTCCTGCGTGAGTGCCGCCTTCTCGTGCTGCCACGCGTCCGCGCTCGCCTGCGGGAGCGCCATCGTCGCGTTGTCGCCCTCGGAGAGCTGCTGCCGGAGCGCCTCATTCTCGCGCTTGAGGGACTCGAGCGTCTCCGTGCGCGCGGCAAACCAGTTGGCCTCGGGGCTGTCGGTCGCCGCGAGAATCCGTGTGTTTGGCGGGACGTAGCGGCCGCCCGCCATCTCGCCCCCGAGCTCGAACAGGGTTTGCTCGAGCTGGTCGAGCTGCTCTAGCGTCTCTGCGTGCTTCTCTTCAGAAGCCTTGAGCTCAGTCCGCAGGTGTTCGGTCTGTTGATACAGGTCGCTCGGGTTCTCGGCCGCGCGTGCAATTTCCGCCGCGAGCTTTTCGTTCGTGGCCTTGTACTCGGCGAGCAGCGACTCGAGATTCTGCAAGCGTAGTGCAGTGGCGGGATTGATGGCGGTGGTGCTTGTGTCTCCGTCGACCGACATGGTATCGTCTACGGTGGTTGCGCCATCTTGCTCCTGCTCGTACGTGCTCTGCAAACCGAGTGAGTTGGTGATAAGGCACGGAGCCAAGACTTACCACCATGGATTTCAGGAAGCCGACCTCGCGCTCACCAAGAGCTACGCGGTCATTCAGTCGCCTCTCCTTATCCTTCAGGTCATCGACTTCGCTCTTGGCAGCGTCGAGCTCCCGCTTGACAGCATCGAGCTCGCCAGACATGACCTGTAGCCGGGTGAGCACGCGACGGTCAGATGAGCGCCGCACACACCATGAGTTCAGTCTGCTTCACCCTCAGCGCGGCGCCTTTGTTGCCGAGCTCGTCTGCCAGCTGGGCCTGCGCCGCGCGCAATCGCGAGACCTCGGCCGCGAGCTCGGCTGATTGTGTGGAATCTCCGGATTTTGCGCTGGACTGCTGCTGCCAATGGTCTCGCTCCGCCTCCGCCTGACCGAGCGCCTGACGCAGCTCGTCGACGACCTTGAGTTTCTTGTGCAGCGACCGGTTCTCCTCGCGCAAAACCTCCACGCTGGCGTGCCGTGCGCGCAGCGCGTCCACCTCCGAGGAGAGGCGCTCATTGCGCCGCTCGAGCGTTGAAATGTATGTGGTCTGCCGGGCAAGTTCGGCGGTGATGATGTTGTCGCTGGAGCGGTCGGCCATGCTGGTCTCCGGATCGGGCGCGCTGGGCACTGCGGCTTCGAGCTCGGCAATGCGGCGGGCGCGGTCCTCGGACACGGCCTGGTACTCTTCGACCTGTTGCGAGAGGTGACCGAGCTGTTGTGTAAGGCGCGCGACCTCGAGGCGGAGGGCGTCTTGTTCGGACGCGCCTTTGCGGCGGACGCGATCGTGCGCTTCAGTGAGATCGGTATGTTCCTCTTGCAGGGCTTCGTAGGTACGACGCAAGGTGTTCAATGTTGTATTGAGGTTGCGCTGGGGGAAAAAGTTAACGGAGACGGACAAAGGAATGCATGTGGACACACCCTCTCGACCTCCCACTGCGTGTGATGGGATTCGCGCGCATCTTTCTCTTCTGTTTCCCGGTCTGCGAGATATCGTCGCTCCGTCTCAAGGCGCTCGATCTCGGCGTCCTTGTCTCGCAGCTTGTTTTCCAACTCGTTCTTCGCGGCTTGCAACGACACTATCTGCCGTTCGGATGTAGCTTGCGAGAGGGTCGAGGTGAAGGCCTGCGTGCGCTGCTGCCGCTTGGCGGAGGATAGCTGGGGGTCTGAGATGTATGAGCACTGAGTACTGAAGCCCTCAATAGAGCATGACATGACGCACCCTTCTCGAGCTCTGCCTGCAAGGAGTCTCGCTTCGTAGATGTTATGGGTCTTTGTATCGGGGTGCTGGATAATGTTGAGGCTGCAACCGAACGCAAGGTAGGTTTCGTCGACACGGGCGTCCGCGACGATGTTGTCGCCCGTGTCGTGCGAGATACGCGCGTGGCGCTCGGGTTCGGTCGCCGCTCATCGGGGTTCATGCTCTGGACTGAGTTCCGCAAGGGTGTTGAGCTGAGTGACTGAGAAGAGCTGCGCGTACGCGTCGATCAGACGCGCCCTTTGACGCGACTTGCACGCGACGCGAATGGAAGTCGAGAACAAAAGCGGGAGAACGTTGTTCGTGTTTGTCCCATCGTCCGAAAACGCTCGTGACCGAGTTCAACTTTAGACTTTGCCTCTCAACTTCAACTTGTCGATCGTGCCGTCTGGTCGTACTGACGCTGGACTTTTCATGTTTGGATTTCCCCCCCCCCCTTTTTTTTGGCTTTCTCCCTTCTTTCTCCAAAAGAGGCTGAAGACAGCAAGAGTCAGCCGTCAATCGTCTTATAGTGAGTCACGATATTCTGTACTAGACGTCCACCCCCTCGGACAAGTACTTCGTTTGCTGGGGATGCAGACAAGAAATCCGGATGAGTCTTAAACTCAGTTGATGCTACACTCAGTCGATGTTACTGATACCTCTTTCTCCAAGGCTTTGGTGGATGCTGCTCGTGTCCCGCTAGCGGTGATGGCATACGTCGTTTTTCTCCCGACTCCATCCCTTAGACCTCAAAGCCCGGTCGGACCTAGCAGCCGAAGCGTACGCAGCCCTACCTTCTCTACTCACTCTGTCCTGGGCTCGTACTCTTGGACTACCTGCGTGTCGCTCTCCCCTCCCAATTCAATTGCTTCCTCATGGACCTGTACGTTGACCTTCTCCCCATGGGCGCTTGGCACAGGGGTAGCGCGCACGCTTCGCATCTTCGTAGATCCCTGCGTGAGGTCGAGGGTTCAATTCCCTCAGTGTCCATGAAGAACTCCATCGCCTTGGTTTTTTTCTTTTGCTCAATTCCAGAGCTTTTGCGCGCTGGAACATTGGACGAGGACAGCAGGCAGAAGATCCTGACTTGGCGACCAGATTCATCCCGACTACCGCCAATTCGACGGCTCATATGGGGCTCCGGTAATGTATGATACAGCTTATCCTACAGATTGCAGTTGTTATATTGAACAGTTTAATACAGGACGGTCCTTGGAAGGACTGTTTGGCACTGTTACCTTCAAAGTTCGTGCGTCTGACGTTCTACCCATTATGTGAAATATCTTGATATTCCATACCAATGACACAGGATGCGTAGTGGACGTTGGGGGAAGGGGGTGGCTGATGACAACCTCGCCATCGCATTATCTCAGTCTGGTGGGCGCCCGCCGCCGGCCGTGTCATGTCACGGTGTCACAGTTCAACCTCCTGCCGAACGTAACATGCAAACTGATATCTAAGTTCATACTTACGGAGAACCAAGCCGCCCGTCGCAGTCTGCAGACTACTAGTACTAGTTGCTCGAAGAGCACCTAAACCTCTGCAGTGACTTGTACTCTCTGGAATCCAATGTCAACCGGATATGGGGTCCCTCGAACACACTGTATACCGCCAGAATTCAGCGTCGCATGATAAACTTCATTCGTGGAAAGCCTGATCTTGATTAGTAAAGGTGATTTAAGAATGCAAAACAAAACGCGACGCAGCCTTGGTCATTGTCCGCAGCCAGGATCGAACTGGCGATCTCCGGATTTCATCCTCACAGAGGACTCATACGTGCAGTATATGAGACCGGCGCTCTAACCAACTGAGCCATGCAGACCGTGAGCACTGAGAAGGCTGTAGAATGTGTGGTGGGAGTCGTCTTGTTTCAAGAAGACGAGACGAGAGAGGCGAACGAAGGGAGACACGAGTGACAGTGGAATGTCCATGAAAGTCACAGGAAGTGGAGGGGCGGGCTGTCAGTATATGTGAGCAATACAGGCCAAGGAGCCCGCACGTGTGACGATCGGCTTACCAGAAAGCAATCTTGCCAAGGGATGCGCCCGCTTCAGGTATTGGAGTGAGAGCATTGACAGGACGAATAGATGTGCGAGGATAAGAATACAAGTCGGCGTGCGTGAGGGTAGGATACAGCGCGTGAGCGATACAAATAAAATGATCTGTACACGATCAGCAACGATATACGCTGATGGATGAAGAAACGCACCTAAGCAGCCTCCACCATGGCACACACCGGCCAGGAGAGGGATTCGAGGCGCTTCCGCCAAGTTTTATGTTGCTACCTCCTCATGCGGGCGCGGCAGTGGACTCGCTAGCCGTCGTAGCCTTCCCGTCGGGACCGATCGCCATTCGCGCGATGCCCCCCTCAGCGTCCTCGATCTCCACCTCGATGTCGTGCCCATCGACCTTCTCATCCGCCCCGTCCTCCGCCGCATCACCCTCCTCCGCCGTCCCCGCCGAGAGATCCATCCGCTCGACCATCCAGCGCGCGCCCTCGTCCCAGCCGCTCTGCTCAGCCACGCCAAGTGGTGACCTCCCCAAACCGTCCTTCACGTCGATCAGCCGTGCGCCTCCGGCCTTGAATAGCGCCTCCACGGTACCGAGCTGCGCGTTCAAGGCGGCCCAGTGCATGGGTGTCGCCCCCGCGGCGTTCGCCGCCGCAGGATCGGCGCGGGCAGCAAGGAGTGAAGAAAGGACATCTGCATGCCCATTGGCAGCGGCCATGTGTGCAGGGGTATTGCCCGCGTCGTCGGCGGCGCACGCTGCGTCGGGGAAGCGGGCGAGAAATGCGTTCACGTCGTCGAGGTCGCCATAGCGGCAACACAGGCGGAATTCATCCAGCTCGTCGTCTGTGGGGGGCGTCAATTTGCTGTCGACAACGTCAGGGGCGTCGATGGCGCTGGGCGGCGCGCTCATCGTGGTGAATGCGAAAAGTGATCGCGGGCGATTAGGCGCCATCGGTCCTCGGACCGGGCGTCACGAAAGTGATGTCACGGTTGAACTTGTTGGAATATTCTTGCACTGGGGCGCCTCACTCACGCATTCATCGCACATGTCGAACCTCGTCCGAGGACACCCTAAGCCAGCCACACAAAATGTGTGCTACACATCCATTCTTGATGCTGCCGCTCTCACGGAGTCGCACGATCCACACCTGAATGAACTCCAGGTTCTACATAGTCTTGTTTCGAGAACAATCATTCTAGGTAGTACATTCGTAAGGACGCACAAAAAAGGAGGAGCGTCCCTGACATGCGCTACTGTCCGCAGCCAGGATCGAACTGGCGATCTCCGGATTGTACCCCCTGGAAGGTTCACATTGATGTTACGCACAACATGCTACATATGAGACCGGCGCTCTAACCAACTGAGCCATGCAGACGGTGATGAACACCTTTGTCTCGCCTTCTCACTGCAAGACGCTACCAGAGGTCCCGCATACGACCTTGGTAGCGGTATATAGTCATCCCCGAGAGCCTGCAGTGCAATCCTCATATTGGTAGTATCCAGGTACCACAAAGTTCTCAGCAGCTCGCTTTCTCGAACACAAACGTCATCTGGCTCATCGCGCTCACCGTGAGAACCCAGCCCTGGTCACCGGCCTCAACCACATCCGTCCCGTTCAGCTCGGCGAAGTCTTCCTCCGCCGAGGTGCGGTACGCCGTGGTCGGCGCCACGCACGGGGAAAACACGAGCTCGAGCTGCACGTCCTCCGCGGTAGGGTTCATCGAGATGATGTTGTATGCGCCGCCCGAAGGGGTGCCGACGACGATGGTCGAGTTCAGCAGGGAGGAGTCGGTGCCGGTGATGGGGTAGAGAGGGGAGCCGGCTGTTGAAAGAGAATACTCAGTTTCGCTGGTGGCAAATATACCGAAGGGCATCACGTACGTTTGACAAAGTTGCCGAAGTGCTTGTACGCCCAGAAATGTTTCGTCAGATCTACCAGGTGTCAACAAGATCCGTCGCGAAAGCAAAGGGGGAGATACGCACAGAGCTCATAGTTGCCGTTGGTCGCGTAGTCATCGTCGTAGTAGATGACGCCGTCCTGTTCATTGTGAGCAGAACGTGAGCGATTTGTGTAGACTGTACTAACAGTCCAGCCATCCGCGTTCGCAGTAGTTGTGCAGGTCGGGTCGTCAAGAGGATCACAGCCGATGCCGTTGGAGACGAGCGTCCAGAAGTCGTAGTGCGCCTCGCCCGCAACGAGGATGCTCTGGTAGACCATGCCGGACCACATGAGCGCGTTCGCGATACTGGAATCGTAAGGATGTGTTAGGATGGGCCCGCCAGTCGAAGCTCAAAGGTAGCTGCTCACGTCGGATCGTATCCCCCAGACCAGCCACGACCGGTGCCATCCGCCTCACCGAGAGAGCAGCAAACTTCCTAGGGGCCGATGAGCTTAGGCAAAAAGACTCCAAAACAGTCATGTACGCACACTCATCCATGTCGTCTTTTCCGGGAAACGTTCAGCGACGTCGGCAGCATAGGACGAGTAGCTGTCGTCGGTGGGGAAGTCGTAGGTGTGGTGCACGAGATGCGCCACCTGAGCGGCGTTGAGCCAGGTGATCAAGCAGGCGGGGGCATGCCCATACCATGTCAATGACCTCCGGAAGCCAGTCTGCGTACTCGCTCGTCGCACGGCTGAGCGAGCTTGACTCGTCCGCGAGGATGCCGATCTCGCCCTCGAGACCGCGGTCGACAAGCGCATTGTACAGACCGGTGATCATTTCCGCGCGTCTGACGGTGGGTCAATGCTGAACCAGACAATCACAATGATCTAGCTTACTGGTACTGCGTAACCTCCATGCCCTCCTGACCGCACGGCGACGGGCCAAAGTTGTTGTCCGGCTCGTTCATAGGCGAGACATAGGAGATCTTCGAGAGACCTTCGTCGACGAGGAAGTGCTCGAGCACGTCCGCGACGTAGCCGCCATACCAATCGCCCGTACCTACAGGATGTCAAAAATCAGGGGAAGCCTATGATTGACTCGAGCAAACGCACCATTCGCGAAGCTCGAGCTGCATGATGCGTGTTCGAGCGTCATGGCCGCCGGCGCGCTGTTCACGAACATCGTGATCTCCATATCGTCGCCGCCGATCTCCTGCGCCGCGTAGAGGAAGTAGCGCCCAGAAGCGTCTGCATTCCAATCATATGTCCCGTTCGACACGTAGAACGTCTCCGGCGCGCGGACTGGGTTAGAGACGTTGACGCCGCCGCCGCCAATGTTGTAGCGGTAGCTCGTCAGGCCCATGCCGGTGTCCAAGAAAAGCAGGTTGGAGAGGTTCGTGCGGACGTCGTCGGGGAATTGATACAGGTCGTACGGCCACCAGGCGCCTGGGGGATGTCAGACGCGAACTAGTGAGAGGATCGGAACACGCACCAGAACCGCCGAAGCCGAGCATGGTCATTGATGCCTCGGATGCAACGGTTGCGGCGCGTACATGAAGCGCCGCCTGCATCGCGGCGAGAGACAGCACGGTGGGCGTTCCCCTCATGATCGACGCGTCGTAGATACGATAAGCGCGCGTTGGGCACGACCCCATCGAGGGGCCTTATATACCGTCGTCCTCGCATGCCGTCAGGCTTCGCGTGCATACATGTGGACGGGTAGGACTTCTGATTGTCCGTGCCAGGAACGGCGAGGGGAGGGCAGATCTGCGGTCGTGAGCGGGGCGAATCCGGCAGACTGCAGTGTGTTCAGCTTTCAAATCAGAGAAGATAGAGTTGTGATGGTCGGTGTCTATGTCCGCCAACGCACGAGGTCCGATGGTGAGGGAATGCTGGGTGAACGCCGGGAAAGGAGGCCTCGGGGAGATCGAAAGGAGATTCAACAGAGAAGTCGCACGAGTCACACGCAGTCTTGCGCACCGGGCAGGTGACTACTTGGCACGGTGAAGTCGAAGTTCATCGCAAAGTGAGGTTCGGTAAAACCACGGTATGTTCCGTCCAGCGCAGTAGAGTGATAATCGAAGAGACCCACGCCTTTCTGTAGATCCGTTACGATATGGAGATAAGTAGAGAATAGTTTGAGCCCGGCCCGAGGTGCATTGCGGGAGAAGCGAAGCAAGAATACTGGTGGAATCGCAGCGGTATGAGGGAGAGTAGAGCGCGATAGTACACGGAGAAGATAGGGACTCAATCAAGGGTAAGGTCAACTTGGAAGTTCCCTGCAAAACGGGTCCCCAGGATACAATTCAAAGTCGACTACGAGCTCACGACTGTGAGAAAGAACAGAATGCACGGGCCAGTACAGATGGCGGGGCGTTTTGGTGTTTGGCCTTGCTTGCTACGACGTGTTCGGTCGCGTCGCCGCTACGCGCCGTCACGACATACTCCTCCCTTGTCCTTACGCCCTTATGAATCTGACTCTCTACACGATCTCCGCGTTCATCATCATGGACAGCGAAGGACACCGCGTCCTCGCGAAATACTATCGCCCAAAAAGCGCTGAGGCGCTGGCGCCCTTGGGCGCGAAAGGTATGCATCAAATAGCAAGGTGGAAGAAGCGCAGCTGACCAGCATATTGTCGTCTATCCTCGATCTCGCTGTCCATTCAAGCTAGCGCCTTGAACACGTTGAAAGATCAAAAGGCATTCGAGAAGGGCTTGTGGGGAAAGACAAAGAAGGCGGGCGGTGCGTTGCATGTTCCCTGCAATGAACGCGTCCTGATCTGTGTTATACAGGCGACATTATTCTGTACCAGGATCATCTTGCACTTTACCGGCATTCCCTCGACCTCATCATATACTACGTTGCATCCCCCGCCGAGAACGAGGTGCGTTTACATGCGCCGGCGTCGCAGGCATACGCTGATCCTCCCCAGTTGATGCTCTCGACGGCCCTAAACTCCCTCGTCGACGCCTTCAATCTCTTGCTACGAGGGCAACTGGAGAAGCGCGCAGTACTCGAGAACCTCGATCTCATCCTCCTATGTCTCGACGAAGCCGTCGACGATGGGTGCGTCTCGCGTGCGCGCGCACATCCCCACAAGCTCACCACCATCCCAGCATCATCCTCGACACCGACTCCGCCGCGCTCGCATCCCGCGTCTCACGAGCAAAGGCAGACACGACCGAGATCGTCATCAACGAGCAGACGGTCATGAACGCGCTGCAAATCATGGGCGAGCGCGTGCGCGGACAGATCGCCCGCGGGCTCTAGTAGCGACGTGGCTCCTTGTTCTCCATGTACCATTTGTCTGTTCATTGCATTCTCCTTCTGCCGTCAACAACGTCTGCTCTCAAGATCGTGCTCCTACCAGTCATTGACGTTCCCGCTGACGTCCATGAACTTCCCTCCAACGGTATCCCTGGTAGCGCTGTCCACGATGCGCATGACGTCCCTAACACTGTCTTCGGCCGTCGCGCCGGGAATGCTGGCCAACATGGCATCGTTCTGCTGCGCGAAGCCGTCTGTTTCCCCCGTCAGCAACATGTTCCCCTGCGCGTTATATCACTCACACATATCCGTCGACACGCTCGCAGCATAGATCGGGAATATCACTGTCGGTGCGCGTCGATCAGCTTCGCATGCATTCCCCCTGCTCTGGGCCTGAGGAGACCATCGCCCCCTCGCCCACACAAACTAACCAAAATCCTCGTTCTCCAAGTGCAGCTTCTTCGCGACCCAGTTCTCCGCAGCCTTCGAGCACCCGTACGGGCCCAGCGGGGTCCCATAGTCTGGGCCGATCGTGATGCTGCCGCCTTTCGCGCTGATGATGACGAACTTCTTCGTCGGGGAGGCCTTCATGAGCGGGTAGGCGGCCTGGAACAAGACGAGGGTGCCGACGACGTTGACCTGGTCCGTGGGTGAGCTTTACGAATATCTCAAGCGTGAGTGCACTCACATCAAACTGCTCCCTCATCTCCTCGACAGGTGCGTCCCGTAGGGGACCCATCCACTTACAGATGCCTGGGTGTATGAGCATACATACGCGTCGCCCGTCAACGCTACGATGCACTCACTGGCGTTCGCTATCACGACATCCAGTGTACCGGCCGTGTGCTTGATATGCTCAACGGCGCGCGCGTTGCCCTCCTTGTCACTTGATTCCAGCTGGACGATGTGCACCTGGCCTGGGCGCTGTGCGGCAAGGGCGTGCAAGTCGGCAGCCGTCTCAGGATTCCGCGCGCCCGCGAACACGATGGTATCCGGGCGCTCCGAGAGGAGGGTGGTGAACGCCAGCCCTGGTAAGTAATAATAAGTGCGGTGGTGTCTGTCTAGCAGAGGCATACGCGCTCAGAGCCTGCAAACTGACCCAATCCGCGGTTGGCGCCAGAGACGAGATAGACAGTGGATGAGGTCGTCATGCTACTCGGGTGCTCTCTGTATCTGCTGTCCAGTCAAGGAAAGACCAGCGCTGTTATATACTCATCGAAGTA